GTGCAAGGGCTTTCCCAGCGCTTCCATGCCCGAGCACCCAAAATCCACACTGGCATCCAAGAGGAAAACCACAAAGCATCGTCTGGGCATCGCTGCACGGCATCGCCCGCGCTCCCTCCCCCAGCCGGGACCACGCAACCGAAGCGAGCACGGGAGGGATAATTACCTCTAAGCGTACTTAATACTACAGCGCGTTATCTCTAGCTATGGAGAAAAATGCTATCCGGCGGTATTTCCCCCAGAAGCCTCGTCGAGCTGCTCTCTGAAAACTCTCAGGAGTCCCGTGAAACGGTCATAGAAAGCCACGGGCAGCCCAGGAAGACGTCGGGTTGGTCTCGGTGAGGAAGCGTGGCCGGGCACCGCTCCGATGGAACCGTGGGAGAGGGCGCACCGAGAGGGGTCGAGAATCGCATCTCCTGAAGCCAAGTCGCCCGCCGCTGGAGCGGGGACGTTACAGACGGCTGCTGGTGGCAAGTGCCGCCACCGAGACAAGCCCCAGCCGCCGGCGGAGTGCCAGCTTGGCCACAGCTCGCGGCGCCACGCTGAGCGTAAGGCAAATGGAATTTACGCTTCATCGTAATTTATGGCTCATATCACCAAACTTGCACGTTACGTTCCACTTGCTCAAAATCCTTAATTTCCAACAGCGAAAAAACCAGTGCAACGCGCGCCCGTAACGCCACTGATATCTTTTAGGTGGGTACCACTCTGAGGCAGAGAAAGCGAAGCAAAAGAAAGGAGATAAGGCAAACACGCAACCAAGGGGAGCAAACGTAAATTCGCCAGGAACAGAGAGAGACGGCGTGTGCCCGTGTGACAGCGCAGCTCCGGCACGGTCCCCTCTCCACCTCCGCCAGGCTCCCAGGCGTCCCCCTCGCCAACCCGAGCCACTAACGGGCTTTCTGGGATGCTCTTTAACAGAGCAATGCCAAGTGCTCTGGCACGTAAAAAAACCAAACAAACAAACAAAAAAAAAACCCCGCTGCATACCTCAGCACGCGTTTAGAACAGGAGCAGAATTTTTTTTGGGAGGAAAAAAGCGGTTAAAGCCCTGTGAAGACAGAGAGGAAGGCTGAGCTTCCCGAGCGGCCGCCGGCGACGCCTTCCACGGGACCCAGCGCGGGGGCATCCCACCGCACCACCGCCTCCTCTCCCGGGTTCTCGCTCTCACGCGCCGGATTTTTCTCCCTTTGTACCTCCGCTTGTACCGCACGACTGTTTTGAATCTCTAAAATAATGTGACAAGTTAATGACGGCACAATTATCTAAATGTTTAACAGACATGTTATCTAAGTGAATCGGATTGAGATTCCATCCCGCTGACAATAAACATCAATGGGAGAGCAGAAAGTGATAGGCAAATTATCGCCAACCCTGCAATTTCAATGCTATTAAATTTGGAGGAATAACAGCCCTGAGGCCTGTAAACTCTGAGTAAAATAGACCCTTGTGTTTGGCCAACTATTAAATCAAAACGCTACCAACATCCCAGCAAAAAAAAAGGAAAAAAAAAAAAGGAAGAAAAAAAAAAAAGGTGGGGGGAGATTTATAGCTTTTCAATTTTCAGTCACACGTTGGTTTTATTAACTCTTTTCTGCTACTCGTCGTGTCCCGGTCCAGCATCGCCAGCCGGGGGACGCGAGGGATGCAGGCAGGAGACGCAGGCAGGGGAGGGCGAAGGCTCCCACGCATCCTCAGCGGAGCGGCCGGGGGCACGCCGACCCCACAAATCAGAGAGCCAACTACACGCCGAGGAAAACGGACTCTATATTAGGCGTCAAGCGTGCCCACGTGAAATTGGGTCAGGACTAAATCCGTGCTGGCCCGCTGGCTGACGCCGGCTGCCCAGCGCGCGCACGCTCGCGCGCGTTAATTGCCTTGGCACACGGGAGGAAACTCTAGGCGAGTCACCTCTGATATTTATAAAAGTCGGCGACGAGCCCAAACCCTGTTAGCAGGAACACCGGCCGCGCGAGCATCCCGAGCCCCGCTGGCGCTTGCTGGGGGTCCTCGGGCCGTCGTCTCGATGCGTTTTGGTTTTTCCTCTACGTTTTAGGAGAAGGGTAAGGAATTTTCCACGCTCTGCCTCCGGCGTGGCACCGAGCTTGCGCTGCTGGAAGATGAGCCAAAACAGTTGCCGCTTTTCCTCTCGCCGCGGGACGGGGGCCAAGGACAGCGAACGCCCGGAGAGGGCGTCTCAGTCCTGAGCCGAGCGGGCTGTACACAGCACACAGCCAGCCCTGTGCTCACAAGCAGAAGCTAATTTGTCTTTAGGGCGTAGGTGTTCTGCCCTGAAGGATGGACAGTGTTCGATGCAGCGCACGTACAGCAGGCCGGCTTCGTGTTTTGCACTGTCAATCGGAGGAGCAGTGAGGGCAACGGGGGAAGAAAAGGCGAGATAAACGGGGGTGCTGGATCCTGACCGTTCCCCCAAGAAACAGCCCCGTATGCTGAAAAGAAACCTCGAGAAGCCTTTCTCTCAGCCGTCCCTTGCAGAAAAGCTCTCAAGCCGTAGGTCACCCGGAGAAGCGGCGACCGTTCGCAGACCGGTCCCGCATCCTCCCCTAAACACCGCGGTTTTGAGCAAAGCGGGTACCTCTGGTCAGCCTGCGCCGGACACAGCCTGCTCAGTTTTTGATGCCGTCCTTGAAGGAACCCACCCGCGCATCTAGCAAAAAGGGCTGTTTTGCTGGCTGCAAGGTCTTTTGCCAACCAACCCGCCGCGCTATGGGGGATGAGGGAGGACGCCCCCAAAAAGTCCCTTTTGGGAGATGCCGTTATTTGGGAATGGGGTTAATTATAGCGCCGGCCGGGGAGGGATGCTTTCCGTGCCAGGGCAGGGCTCTCCGCCTGCCACCCGAGGAGAGGAAGCGATTCATTTCGGCCGCCCTGGCCACCCAGCCCCTCTCCGCCGCGTAACCGAGCTGCCCGTGTTTACAGCCGGAGGCGGGGATGATAAATAAACCCGCTCGGCTTGGGTCACCGCGTCCCCCGTGCTCCGTTCTCCTGTTGCCCTTTGAGCTTTGGCTCGGTCTGGCCCCCGCGTTTCAGCAACCGAAGGGGCTCAAATCCCCGCAGAGGCGTCAAGGCCGTTAGCAAAACTGCGTAGCCGCTCTGCATCTGCGGGGCGATTTTGGGCGCGGGCATCGTTACACAGCTGCTCCGCAGCGTCCGCTCCCGATGGCACGCCGGGGGTTACGCAGCCCCGGGTACCGAGGGGAGCCCGGCTCCCACCAACCGCCCCAGGATGCTCAGCAGGTCCAGGAAACCTAAGGAAACTGGGAGGCAGCTGCTGCTTGCTCAGCCACCTCGAACTCCCTGCCGGGGCTTGGGTCGCTCGTCCCTGAGCCGTCAGTCCCTTCGCGCTGCTGACTGCCCCGCCGCAAGCCTCTTCCTCCTCCTTAACCTACAGTACGCACGGTTTAAAAAGACTGTGATTTGTAAAGCCTGGCCCTCAGCCGTACGACTCTGGATAAGGAGGGCAATTACTTTACAAGTTACGAACTGGTGCTCGGCCAGCGCGGCTCCCAGATCGGATGACGGCCGGAGCTACTCCCGCCCAGTGACACAGCACTTTGCATCGCGCCTGTCGGTGCTCCAACCCCCGGCGTGAAACCGGCCGGGCTCTCCGTGCCAGCCCAGCGCCCGCGCGTCGCCTTGCCACCCCCGACTGCGAACTCGGCCATTAGTGGCGTTTATCGAGGTTTTCAGCCCTGAAAGACGAGCTTGTGCTCGGCTGAACTGCTCCTAATACAGCGTGGGGAGGAGCGGGCGCTCTTCCCTGCTCCAGCCTGGTTTTGGGGGTTGGAAAGGCTCCACCCGAGACCGACCGGCTGCGAATTCCCCCGTGTCCCGCAGCAAACCCTTCCTGGGCGAGGCGGCCTTTGCAAGATGCATAAAGAGCTCCTTGTGCTCCCCGACGGGCTGGGAAGCGCAATAGCAGGCGCGTGGCAGAAGCCGGCTACCGAGAGCCGTTTGGAAAGGGCCGGTGTTTTTGCTCGCAGAGGGAACAAATTACCTCGCGTTTGCTGCGCCATCGTTTCCCACGTGCATACGTTAACGCCGAGCAATAAACGCGATGGCGCTGTGCGAACGGCTGCCTCGTACCCACATTGTAGCAGAAGAGGAGCCGGGGCTACCTCCCTCCTGCAAAGCACAGGCGGGAACAGCAGGCCACAGCAGCCGCTCCGGTCAGGGTTTTAAACACATCTGAGCACAGGGGAAAGAGGTTTTCTGCACACAGCTGGGTCCAGCCCTCCACAAAGGCCCGTCCCCGGGTCCCAGGTCCCTGAGCGTCCTTTCCTACGAGCGGCTGTGCACCCCCTGCGCAGTCTGACCGCCCAGCAGACGCTTGCGCCCACGCACGCGCCCGGTGGCAGCGCAACGAAACCTCCCCAGAGCTCCGGACGCGAGGCACTTACCCCTATAAAGGCTCTGAAAAACGGGAACGCAACTATCGGCGCAGGCTGGGATTCGCGAATGATTGGTAACTCATCGCTCTTGGCCTCCCGAGCATCCAAAGACTCCTGACAAGGGTATTTATCCCCTGGGAAGCTTCCCTTAAACCTGAAACGGTGGCCAAGTAGCATCACGCTGGTCAAATTTTGGCGCACGTGGCTCGAGAGACCAACGGCCACCCGCGAGCGGTGCAAAGATGCTGGGTTTAACCACAGAGGCGGGTTGCGCTCCTCCGTCCGCCAACATCACCGTTACGAGCTCAGCAAAACCAGACCAAAATAAGTCAGCGGCAAACATCCAAAGCCAAAAGCCGCTGGGGGAGGCTTCCCTTGCAAATGCCGTACGCAGACTTCAACGCGAGTACAAAACCGTTTCCGAGCGTTCAGCAGAAAACGCAGCCAACTTACCTTAATCAAATTGAAGTCAAGAAATGGATGCGGGAACCACAAAGGGTTAAGCTCTCCGCTGGGCAAAAGGTTACAAAGGCAGCCTAAATATTAAACTTGTGCCTAAGCGAAGGAGGGAAAGGGAGGGCCACGTACCGGTGTGCGTCTGCCTGTGCGTCTCCAGGGCGTCTTCCTTCGAGAACTGGGCGCCGCACTGATCGCAGACCAGGGCTTTGGCGCCCGCTGGGGAGAGAAAGGGGAGAGGAGGGTTACTCGAGGGACGCCCGCCCAAACCCGCGCGGGGGCCGTCGCTGCGGCCACCGGTGCCGTTCGAACCGCAGGACCCCGGGCGGCTGCGAGTGTCTCTTGTTTTATACCCCCCCCCCAGCCACGAAAAGCAGCCGCCTTGCTTACCCCCGTGGTCCCGTTCCTTGCGCGTAGCAGCACAACGCACGATAAAGAGTTGCTTCCCAGGAAAAAAGGATTTTTTTTTTTTTTTTATTTTTTTTTTTTTTAAATCATTAAACGTCAGTGTGTTTCACTGGCATTGTAACCCATCTAATTGCAATCGGTTTCCCGCCCCTTCCCATCGCAGCTGCCGTTGCCGGTACCCGAGGATGCGTCCGGTCAGAGACGCAGCCAGAAGGGCACCACCGAGCGAGAAGCTCAGAGGTGCCTTCGACTGTCGGAGCGAGATGTGGTATCGGGAGGAATCCTTAGACAACCGCTATCAACACGTGCCGCTAGCCCGGGTGAGGGAAAAACCAGGATGCCCGGCAGCAGCGAAGCAGCTTCCAGATAAGACCAGATTAACGATACACACCGCGTCTGAAGCACTGCTGCCGGGACAAAGCTGGGGACCCATTTCCTAGATTTCGAGGCCTGACTCATCTGTTGCGAGGAGCCGAGCGTGACAGAGCGGCCTTCGAGGCGGGGGGCATCGCTCCGCAGCGTGCCGAGCCGCCCATTTCCAGGGCTCCGGACAGCGCCTCCCGTCCCCGCCCCGAGCCCCCCTCCCCACCGTCAGGGTGGGATTCGGAGAAAGGTGCACAGAGAAGGTGACGGGGAGAGAGGGAGGCATCACGAGATGCGTTAACAAGAGAATTCCTTTGCCTTTAAATTGTCTCGGTAACGGCTGGCTCGCAGGCAGAAATATTTGGCAGCGGCGAAATTAAAAGTGATAAATTTTCTCGCCCAGCGTTGATCGATAATAGAGGTCTCATCTGTTAATCAATACGACAGTCTGCCTGTTTACTGTGCATATGTTGTTCTCCGCCGCCCTCGCCGCGATGTCAAGTTTGCATTCAAAACAACCCGAGTGTGCACGGGCCACACGGCCGCTCGCCAAGGGAGACGCACAAAAAATAAAAAGGGCTTTGGGGCGACACGAGGAGGGCGGTGGGGCGGCTCCCCCGGCTCGTGCCACCGGCCGAAAGAGCTGCTTTCGGGGATGCGGAGCATCGCGCGGGCGCTGCCGGCGATCCCCTCCCCTCACCACCCGCGGCAGGGG